AGCCTCTGGCCTGTACCCCAGTTCTGTATACACAAATAAATAAATCTTTAAAAATAAATAAATAAATAAATAAACATTAAGGGAGAATTTTCTATTAAAATTTTATTTCTATCATAGTAATATTATAAAATGTTTAGGTATGGCCTTCCCTGGTGGTGCAGCGGGTTAAACCACGGCACTAAGATGCTAAAGCCACTTCAGCATGAGTTCAATCCCCGTCCTGGAGGTGACCCACATGGCACAGCAGACCTCTCCTGACCCGCACGCTACTCTCTTCAGCAGTTTACTTCATCAGTCTGCCTGTCCTGCTCCCCATTCTGTCTCTGGTGAATCCTCTCATCCCCCTGCACATCTGGCCTGTACCTGAGTTCTGTATGCATAAATAAATAAATCTTTTAAAAAAATGTTTAGGCATGTGAGAAAAATATCACACATAAATTTACAATTCTAACTCAAAATTGCTAGCATTTTGGTATTTTTATCTCTGTCTTTTTTTCTTATTCATTTTTAACCTGGCCATAACACAGGTGTACATGAAGTTTAGTATTCTGGGGTTTTTCCTCCCCTACCATAAAATTGAAGTGTTTTTTATGTGTCTGTATAACCCTCTTAGCCATTCTATTAAATGACACAATTATTGTGATGGTTAATTTTTTAAAAAGATTTATTTATTTATGCACACAGAACTGGGGTACAGGCCAGAGATGCAGTGGTGGTGAGAGGATTCACCAGAGACAGAGTGGGGAGCAGAACAGGCAGATCAACAAAGTACACTGCTTAGGAGAGCAGTGGGTGGGTCAGGAGGGGTCTGCCATGCCATGTGGGTCAGCTCTGGGGCTGGGGATAAAACTTGCCCTGAAGCGGCTGTGCTAGTTTGCAGTGCTGCGTCCTAACCTGTTGTGCCACCAGAGAGGGCCATGATGGTTAATTTTATGTACGATTTGACTGAGCTTTGTATTTCTGTTATTTGGTCAAACATAAGCCTAGAGTTGATGTGAAGGTATTTTTTAAAATATAATTAACATTTATAATCAGTTAACTTTAAGTAAAGCAAATTACACTCCACAATGCATGTTAACCTCCCCAAACTGTTGAAGGCCTTAAGAGTAAAGACTAAGTTTTCACAAAGAAGGAATTCTTCCTCAAGACTGAAAGATAGAAATCCTACCTGAGTTTCCAGTCTGCTGGGTTCATCACAACAGGCAGAGGCACCTGGGAGCCACAGAACCAGGGATCTCACCCAAGTGTTACCTCTACCATGTACCAAAATCAAGCTCTGGAAATATCAGAATTAAATGAAAACTAACAAGTATAGATAAATAATTTTTCAATCTTGAGATAGAAAAGTAATAAATATGACCCAGGAGCTACAGAGGGAAACATAGATTTCACTTGACAGCAATGCAAGTAAAATCTATACAATTTTTAAAGCTAATGACAAAATGAGAGAAAATAAAAGGGAAATGCATGAAATGTATAATGTTGGCGATTTATTTCAATAGAGAGAATAGAAATGAGTAGGAAGGATATCTGTAAGATTCACCTAAAGAAGAAAAACAAAGGGACCAAAATGTATGAAGAGTTTACATTCCCTGACATTCAAAACTTGCAGATAACATTTAGAAAGTGGAATGTTTATATAATTATAAGAAGAGGAAAATGCTCTTCCCAAACATTGCTAGTCATATTGAATTTCCTATGTTTATAGGATACAGTGTATCGAAGATCTGAAAAATTGTTCTAAAAGCCATTTGACGCAATCTCTACAGTTCCTTCTGGGCGTCTTTATACCTTTGATTTAATTAGACTTTGGGAGACCAACACAATTACTTTGTATAGAAGAATTTGATCACATGCCAGCTACTTCACCTGAACCCCAACTTTAAAGCCAGATGGAGAGGAGAGAAAAGCTGGGAGGAGCTTTGGTAAATCAGCCATCACATAAAACTCACCGTGGTGGGCACCTCAGTGCAGGAAAGAGCAAGGAGGAGACCAGCAGTCCTGGGAGACAAGCTTTCTGGAGTTCCTTTCTTCACCTCAGCACCTGGAGACTCCCTGACAAATCTGCATTTATTTTTCTTCCTGCCACAGGTTAGTTTATGACCATTATTGCCTCTAAGATCCAGGGCTTAGTGGGAATTTTTAAATGTTTATTTTATGCCTTGCAGTTGCTATTAGAAAAATATCATTGTAGTCTATACAGACAAGCAAAAGAAACAGTAATTAGTTGGAATTTTTCCCAGTGAAGGAAGAACAGAACAGAACTCATCAAAAGAGCAACTTATACTTAACTACCATTTTGTGCAAAGCAGAAGACAGGCCGGGAAAGGTGTCCACAGCATATGTGGAAAGAGATTTGACCTGCTGAGGTTTTCTTTGAACTTTTTCAAATGACAGACTAAACTGGAGTTGAAGGGGAGCTGCTGGAGGAGCAAGGGGATATGAATGATCAAGGACACACCTATAATACACAAGGTGCAGATGTGTATTTCAACAACCAAATACCCTGAAGAAAAGGATTTGATTAGATATTTCTGACATCTGAAAGGTGGTTTTTCAAGCAAATTTACATATCCATTCAGAAACAAAGTAGACTTAGCATTATAAAATAGACTATTTGGTTCTACTCTTCAAATTAATAGATGTAAAAAATAAATAAAAAAAGATTTATTCATTTATGTATGCAAGAGCTGGTATGGGCCAGAGGTGGTGGGGGGGAGAATGAGGAGGATGAGAGGATTCACAAGACACAGTTGGAAGTAAAACAGAAAGATCTGGACCCTCCCTGGTGGGTTAAAGCACAGCACTGAGAAGCTAAAACCATTTCAGCATGAGTTCGATTCCCACCCAGGAGGTGACCCACATGGCGCAGCAGACCTCTCCTGACCTGCCCGCTGCTCCCCTCAGCAGTGTACTTCATCGATCTGCCTATTCTACTCCCCAATCTGTCCCTAGTGAATCTTCTCACCGCCCCTGAGCCTCTGACCTGTACCTCAGTTCTGTATGCATAAATGAATCTTAAAAAAAAAAAAAAAAAAAAGCAGATCTACTGAAATACAGTGCTGGGGAGAGCAGCCAGTGAGAAAGCTCAGCTGCACTATATGGGGCAGCTCCCTGGCCAGGGGGTGAACCGTGCTATAATGGCTGTGATAGTTTCATAGCGCTGAGACTTAACCCCTTGCACCACCAGGGAGGGCCATTGTAATATTCTTTATCAATATGTTTCTGCAATTTCTGTTCCTTTTTCATTCTGCCATTGTGCAGTCTAGGATGTTGGCTGATACTATGATCCAGAAAAATTTTTGGAAAACCTACGCATTCACTGATATTCTCAGGCTGGGAGTGGATTATTTAGGTGCATGCAGTGTAAATGTTTTCCTTATAGCACCTGACTATATTTTCAAGTAGTAGTAACAAAGCATTTACTATGTCAGTGTATAAGGCTAATGGAATAAATCTAAATTAAGAGAAATTATCAAGGGGCTCTAGAATGAAAATGGTCTCATATTTTAATAGTTGCTCTAGTCCATTAGAATATAAACTCCTATATTCTATAAAATGGGTACAGAATTACCTTCAATTCAGGGTAAATAGATACAGGGAGCAATGTATATCACCAGATGATAAAGTGTCATTTATTAAGAAAACTAATACCCTATGGCTTTACTAAATGGGAGAGGATGAACATAACTTTGTAAAAATAGGTAGAGAAGGAGAGAAGTTTCCTCAAAGGCATTTACAGTTAACACCTGTTGATACTGTGAAGCCATAGATTATGTTTTGCCCCATCTTTTGAAAAAGTTCCCTGCCTGCTCAGACAGCTGACACATTCTGAATCTATATGATACTATTGCTAAATTCTCCTCCAACTTCATTATATCCTTCTCTCCTTTAGCTCACACCCACAGTGCTTCTCTTGTTTTTCTTCAAAAATTCAGTGTGTACCTGTCAGACTCTGATATTTTAAAATAATCTTTCATTTTAAGACGATCTTTCATTTAAGATCTTTCCTTTTTTTAAAGATTTATTTATTTATGCATACAGAACTGGGGTACAGGCCAGAGGTGCAGGGGCGGTTGAGAGGATTCACCAGAGACAGAGTAGAGTGCAGAACAGACAGATCAACGAAATAACACTGCTAAGGGGAACAGCGGGCAAGACAGGAGAGGTCTGCCATGCCATGTGTGTCACCTCCCTGCTGGGTATCGAACTCATGAAGTGGCTGCAGCTAGCTTTGTATGGCTGTGCTTTAACCTGTTGCGCCACCAGGGAGGGCCCAAGGTCTTTCCTTTTAAGAGTCATTCGGATTTAAAATATATTCTTAAAAGGAAAAAGTAATTCAGACTCTTAAAATGATCTTTCAGATTGCACACATGCTTGGTCCCTCACTTTCTGCTTACATGTATAAAGTAAGCCCTTCTCTATTACATAAAAGAATACTCTCCCTATTGGATTCCTGTCAGCTTTCTTCTTGTCCATATCATTATCTCCTATACAGTTTCCCTTAGAATATATTACCTGGTGTACCATGTGTTCACTTACTTGCCTTGAGCCTACCTCTTTGGAATTAAAGAACTCTGTCTGTTTTGCACACAGCTGTATCTACCTTATCTGATACATAGTGTGTAACCAATAAATACTTATTGACTAAATGAATGGCAGAAAATCTATGTCTGGATGAACTAAATTTGCACTAAATTTCTAAAAATCACTTAAGTTGAGTTGTAGAAACAGAAATGTGAAAATGAAGTCATAGGAAAAAATTAAGAGTCAAATCTTTTTAAGAGAAGACAATCTACTTGAAAGTGAGAAAGGCTGTGTGAAGTGTGAAGTAGGAGTTTCTATCACTCAATCAATAACCTTACAGCTTTGAGTGAGCCAGTCCTTGAATGTCTAATGGAATGCTTTTAAGAGAAAACTAATAATCTTGCATTATATGAACAAATTACAGGCTGACAAAGTTCTGAGTTTCTCCTAACAATCTCCTGAGACAAGACACAATGCCAGGCAAGAGGATCGCAGTGATTGGTGCAGGGGTCAGCGGGTTAGGGGCCATTAAGAACTGCCTGGAGGTAGGATTGGAACCCACCTGTTTTGAAGGAAGCGATGACATCGGAGGACTGTGGAGATACGAGGTAAATCTGAAAGTCTGAGCCTCTATATGTGTGACAGGCATTTTTAATACCTGGGAAACTGGAATGCAAAGTATTACACATGTTTATCCTTCAACTACTAACAAAATAATTTTTATTAGTAGCTACATCTGTGCATCGAAGCCCCATTTTTCTGCTTCTCAAATAATGTTAAGCCCTCCTTCCTTCGGAGTCTACATTAAATTATCTATATCTAATCTTGATTAAAACAAAAGCAGAGATAGTGCTAATACACTTAACAGAAATTGTATGTAGTAGATTCCTATTATAACCTGAATAGTGATGATAATGTGCTCACAGGATTGCAATGAGCAGTGTATAGGACACACTTTATAAATCATAACATACCCGCAAATGCTGAAATATTATGTGCCTATATCTATGTGTATAGGTGAGTAGGTAATAAAGAGATACTAATAGACTGAGAGACTAAGACTAGAAGAACCACATCGAAGTGTTTAAAATGATCATCATGATTATATTCTGCCTTGTAATTCTCTATACAATTATATTAAACATGTGCTGCTTTTGTAATTAAAAAACAAGGATAAAAATTTCAAATCTGACTATGCTGTTTTTATCTATCATCACTGTGAACACCCCAAACCTCATGATCCTCTCAACGCAGGACTCTGACCCACAAACTCTGCACATATAGGGGAGTCCCTCCTTTACTCTCCTGTCTCTCATAATTTGTTGTTGTTTCTTTCCATCCACTTTTAACATCCTTCTGTTTGTTACCCCCAGCAAAGGGGGTTTTGTTGTTGTTGTTGTTGTTATTTTCTTTAGATTTCTTTGAGCAACACTGCATTATTTGCATTAAGTTTCAGATGTGCATTATTGTAAATTAATATCTGTACATACTAAAAGTCCAGTTCTATCCTCCACATACAATTCACACTTTTATCCAATATACCTATCCCGTTTTCCCCTTTCCTTTTGGAAGCCCCAAATTTGGTTGTATCATCCAAAAATTTATTGGTTTTTGAATTCACTTACTAGTTTTCCTTTTTTTTTTTTTTTTAGATTTATTTATTTATACATACAGAACTGGGGTACAGGCTGGAAGTACAGGGGTAGTCGGAGGACTCACAGAGTGGGGCACAGAACAGGCAGACTGACAAACTACACTGCTAAGGGGAGTAGTGGGCAGGCCAGGAGAGGTCTTTTGTGCCATGTGGGTCACCTCCGGGGCTAGGGATCGAACTCATATTGAAGCAGCTGTGGCTAGTTTCATAGTGCTGTGCTTTAACCCATTGCACCACCAGGAAGGGCCCAGTTTTCTGAAATTATATGGTGTGAAATTATATGGTGTTTCCCTTTTTCCATCTGACTTATTTCAGTTAACTTAAATTAATACCCTCTAGGTCACATCCACATCCTGCAGGTGGCAAGGTTCTTTCTTTTTTTTGTTTTGTTTTGTTTTGTTTGTTTGTTTGTTTGTTGTTTTTTGCAACTGAGTGATAATCTCATTGTGAATAGACATATACATATATTTATCAGATAGACCAGTGGACACTATAGTCATTTCCAACTCTTGGCTATTATAAATAATGCTGAAGTGAACATGGGAAGACATGAATCTCTTGAAGTTAGCGTTTTAGTAATTCTTCAATACATAAATAATATGGAACTATTTAACTTTTAATTTTTTTTTTTAAAGATTTATTTATTTGTGCATACAGAACTGGGGTACAGGCCAGAGGCTCAGGGGCGGTGAGAGGCTTCACCAGAGACAGAGTGGGGAACAGAACAGGCAGATCAACGAAGCACACTGCTGAGGGGAGCAGCGGGCGGGTCAGGAGAGGTCTGCCACACCATGTGGTCTCCTCCGGGGCAGGCGGGAATCGAACTCATGCGAAAGCGGCTTTAGATTCTCAGTGCTGTGCTTTAACCCGCTGCGCCACCAGGGAGGGCCAAACTTTTAATTTTTAGAGCAATCTTCCTACTATTTAATGGTACAACAAGATATAGTCCCATCAACAATGCATAAGCTTCTATTACTTCTGGACGCTCTTAATGAAGATAATGGAAAAAGACTTTCTGTGCTTGAAGATTTAATTGCAGGAGCTCCCTAATTTGTCATGTAACGGGGGTTAATATTCAACTTCTACTTTTGATTCCTCTTATTTTATTTTTAATACGTTTTTAACTAAGGAAATATTTAGATACCATCATACTTTTGATTCCAGAAGCCAGTGAGTGTCCTTCTGTCTTGCTAGGAGAAGACTGAAGGTGGCCGGCCAAGTATCTACAGATCTGCCACGAGCAACACCTCCAAGGAGATGACAGCCTACAGCGACTACCCATTCCCCGCCCATTTTCCCAACTACATGCACAACTCCAAACTCATGGAGTACCTCAGGATGTACGTCAGGCACTTTCACCTCCTCAAGCACATCCGGTTCCAGGTAAGTGAGCAGAGACCACTCCACACTGAGGAACATCCTGGTAGAGAGGGGAACCAGGCCAGGGTGAAGCACAGAGAAGTGTCCGCTCAGCCTCAGGAGCCAGGTTCCCTATGTCTCCAGGGAAGGCGGCAAGAGCTCCTCGTTTTGCCTCCCTCGGGAGGCAAAACATGGGGGGTTGGTTGTGCAACTGGAATGGGCTGTCCATTAACCTCACTCAGGACGACAGTTGGGAGCCAAGTCTACCTGCTTGCGTTAAGCATAGGGAAGCCAGCTGAATAGAACGTCTCATGAAGTCCCAGAGGAGAGTAGATGGAGTCCATCTTCCCTATTGAGGTCAGCGGTTCCTGGGCAGGAGGGCAGCTGGGAAGGGTGGTCACGAGTCTGCTTGTCTCATTCCCAGACGAGGGTATGCAGCGTGAGGAGGCGCCCGGACTTCTCCTGCACGGGACAGTGGGATGTGGTGGTGGAGACTGAAGGGAAGCAGGAGTCCCATGTCTTTGACGGGATCATGGTGTGTACTGGCATTTATTCTGAGCCTGTCTTGCCACTCGAGAGCTTTCCAGGTATGTCATGATAAGTGGGAAGACACTAATTTATTGAGGTTTTACCATTGTTGGTTTTGATGTCTTTGTAGAAAGTTGTCATTCTAAAAGTACCCTATTTTCAAAATCAATCGTATCATTCCTGATTAAAGTAATGGATATTCTGAGCTATTTTAAGTAAAAAGCGCTATATTTCCTATAATTGAAAGGCAAAATATAAGAATAAGTTTGTATTAGTAAGAGTTTGATAAATAGTAGAATCAAAGCTGCAGACAGTACATTTGAATTTAGCTTTATTCCTGAATGTGTATGTACAGGATACCAGGATGAATATAGTTCACCATGCATTAGTGTCATCATGCATTTCAGAGTCCGTACCACTATATTTATTATCTGGAACACTAAGGACCCTGATAAATAATGGTGCAGGAGTGACTTACCTACATAAGGTCTCTATGGTTATTGCTAGATGCAGATACTTAGTCTTCTGCATATACCAATTATGGGGTCTAGGAGCCCCCAAATTCTATTGCTTTGAGTGTCTTTAACTATAAGAAGATAGTTAAAAGAGAGGTTTATTATTTATTTTGTTAGTTAGTTGAATAGATATTTAAATATTCCTTTGTTCATCCATTCAAAATTCACTCATGAGATACCTATTGGGGACTAATTGTGTATCAGAGGCTGAGCAGAGAACAAAACAATCAAAACCCTGGCAAGTCCAATATGGCTGGAGTAGAGGAAAAAGCAGGAAAGAGAGTGAATGGTAAGCTAAATCAAAAAGTGCTTTCAAGGTCATTGTTTGGACACTGGCTTTGACTTTGAGTGAGCCAGGAATGGTTGGAAGATTAGAGTAGTGGCTTGCTCCAATAATTTTAGGAAGCAGTGGTAAATGGAGGCAGGGAGATGAGTGAGGAGGTTTTTATACTCATTTATGTAAAAAGTGGAAATGGCTCAGACACAGGAAGTAGAAATACAAAGTGCTTGGATCCTGAATTTAGTTTGAATACAGAGCTGACAAAATTTGATGATGGACTTCATGTGAGTTGTGGCAAAAGAGAAAACTCAAGGATAACAGTAATGTTATTGGTCTACACAGTGGAGTTGCCATTTTCAAAGACAGTAAGGAAAAGCAGATTCCACCTGTATGAGGGAGAATGATTGAAACCCAATGCAACAATATCCTAGAGATGTTCAGTAAGCATGGAAGAGGTTGAATAGGAATGAAAACAGTCAAAGGAGAGCATTAAAGTTATTTTTCAAACATTCCTTCCTTAGAGGAAACTTTTAAGTTATGCTTGGAGCAATGCACCATAATAGGTAAAGCACTTTCCATTTTTTACATCACAAACATTACAAGTGGTGAAAGAACCAAGAATCATGCATAAGTTTGTTTGACCTCTGTGTCTCTTCCCACATTGCCCAAGGGACTAAGAGTCCAGTTTGGAATAAAAGAGAAATATTTCTCCTGGGAAAAGGAAACAGGGATGGAGGAACAAAAATACAGTATATTTTAGATATAGAGAAAGTCACCTACGACTTTTGTTGTTTCATAAAAATGATACAGAGAAAAGAAAGGATTATCTCTAGGGAGCAAAGGGATTACAGTGGGGTGAAGGGAAAGAGCTTCAGGAAGGAATTTCATGTGGATTCTATCTACCCATAGATAATTGAACTTGGCAACAATAGAATTTGTGAACAATAATATTGAATCCATGCCAGGAATTCACTAGGTAAGGATCAAAGAATTGCTTGCAGGAGAAAGAAAGTTAAAAGTTTTGGAGCAGATTCTGTAGGGGAAAAGGAACAGGGCCAGGACCCAACCACAATTAAGACTGTCCAGAGTCACCGAAAGAGCAAAGAAACCCCTATATGCAGATCCTAGCATTGTTTAAAAGATGAAATACTACAAAACCCCCACCAGCCTTTTTGATTCTACCATATAAGTTTCCTGTTAAAGTCAGAGCAAAATTTGTGGGTAAAAGTTGGAAGTGCATATACCTCTCTGCTTGAAATCTTGTGGTAATGTTATATTGGAACATTTGTTCGTAGTAGGAGAATGAGTGAAGAGGGGCAGCAGGAAGGTGTACTAAGCCCAGCAGAGATGGTTATCAGCCAGACACAGATGAAATTCATGTCTAAAGCAAGGCAGGGAACTGGGTCCGCAGCCATAACTGTAAATAAACAGGGATGATGACAAGGAAGGTGTATTACCTGAATAGGAGCTAAGTTCCCCTTTGAGAACTTGGCAGAATATAGATCAGTAAAAAGAGATCTGATCTTCTTACGAACTTGGGGATTTGTTTGATCATGAAATTTGTAGTCTAAAACAACACTATAGAAGGATTCATTCTATCAGATGATTTTAGCACTGAACTGGTATCAGTGGCCAGCAAATGAGATTTAAGTAGGATGGTCTTTGAGTTCATAAGAAGCTTCAGAATATACTGGCCACTGAAATAAAATAAAATAATGACCAAGATCTGAACAATTCTATTCTTGACCATAGGGATCAAGAGGTTCAAAGGTGAATATATCCACAGTTGGGAATACAAGAGTCCCGAGAAATTTCAGGGGAAGAGAATCGTTGTGGTCGGTATTGGAAATTCTGGAGTTGACGTGGCTATTGAGCTCAGTCATGTAACCTCACAGGTTTGGTTCCTAAATATCTCTTCCCTGAGGTGCAACTTGCCCCTGACCTCTGAGATGTGAGCATTGCATGAAATGTGTGGTGTGTGTGTGTGTGTATGTGTGCACACTGCCTCAGTCCTGACCATTAACAACCCCCACACCTAATGCTTGGTAGGCAGATGGTAATCCATCCCAAAAACTTCTTTAAAATATGAGAATCAAATAAATATACCAAAGCATAGTGAGTGACATATTTTTTTTGTTTTTACCAGAGCGTGTAGGTTTTATCAGCTCAGCCAAGAATTTTTTTTTAAAGATTTATTTATTTATGCATACAGAACTGGGGTACAGGCCAGAGGTGCAGGGGCAGCGAGAGGCTTCACCAGAGACAGAGTGGGGAACAGAAAAGGCAGATCTACGAAGTACACTGCTCAGGGGAGCAGCGGGCGGGTCAGGAGAGGTCTGCCGCACCATGTGGTCACCTCCGGGGCAGGTGGGAATCGAACTCATGCGGAAGCGGCTTTAGATTCTCAATGCTGTGCTTTAACCCGCTGCGCCACCAGGGAGGGCCAAGCCAAGAATTTTAAAAATGGACATCCAAGGAAACAAAAAGGTTTTAAGTACCATTTTTTCAAATCCCTCTATTTTTCATTGATATGACATGTCACACAATCACCCAACTCCAATTCCCTCAAATATTTCTAGGGACATAAGTAATTAAGTGCTCCAGATATTTTACACAGTCATTAGTAATGAGTGGAATTTTATGGTCAATTTATTGATCTCTAGCTTCTTACAATATGTGTTTCCCAGAAGTTAGGACTTAAGAAACTGCAGACATCAACCACTGCTCTGGAGAAAGATCAAAGGGGTGATGAGTGAGATGCAGAGGGAGGCTTGAGGAGACCCTAAGAAATCATCAATATTTAGATGCATCTGTGTGAATATTTGAAACAATATAAATATATCTGCTGGTCTACCTGTCTCTGAGGACAAAGGAACTAGTCTAGCTAAAAGAGCAAGAGAATTCTTGTCTATTTCTCCTCATGAACCAAATAACATATTTGAAGATTTGAGAACAGGATCCTATTTGAAGAAGAAGTGGTTACATTATGAGGCCGTAATTTTCACTTATTTGCATTATTTTCTAGATGTTTCTCAGCACGAGGACAGGTTCCTGGGTCTGGAACCGGGTCTGGGATAATGGGATGCCCATGGACATTGCTCTCTTCACTCGCTTTAACTCCGTCCTCAACAAATTGTACCCAGCATTCTTAATGAACCGATGGACAGAGAGTAAATTAAATGCTCGATTTAACCATGATGTCTATGGTTTGCAACCTAAACACAGGTATGATCTAAGGGTTTTAAAAAGTAATTTGCCTCTGTCTGTCTTTTGGAGTCAGCAAGTCAGACTTGGGATATAAGGATGGGATAGAGTCCATGTTCTACCATTTTGAAAATAGACTCCAGCTGTCATAAGAGAATATTCACCATTGTGCATTTCCTTGGGTTTCTTTGACTGTTCTAGTCACCTTAGAAGAAAGAAGTTGAGCTTTAGGATGTGGTGGGGGCACTATCGTCTTCACCCTTCACTTTTTCAGGCTGCTTACACTTCTTCTGACTCTGAGACTTTCACTTAGTGGACAAATGGCAGATGGTACACTATGTCATTAAAAACAACTCCATCTTCCAGGCCAAAAGAAAGATTCAGGTTTCCATGTGGGAGCCCAGGGCCTTCATCTTATCCCTGGATATCATCAGATATCACAAGGTTCAGCTGCATCAGTCCTTGGATGCTGCTGAATGGAAAAAAAAAAAAATGAAGGGACTGCTAGCTGTGTCAAAATTAATGCTGATAAATGTATTAAATGGCATGTAGTTTCTCCATATAAAATTGCAATCAGAATATGATCTGATTGTCCATTTCCAATATCAACACATGGTAACCGCTTTTCAAAAATCACTCCAAAAAATTGGGTTTTTCTTTTTAAGATTGATTCATTTATTCATAAAGAACTGGGGTTCAGGAGTGATGAGAGGATTCACCAGAGACAGAGTGGGGAGTAGAACAGTCATAGCAACAAAGAACACTGCTGAGGGGAGCAGCGGGTGGGTCAGGAGAGGTCTACCACACCATGTGAAACACTTCCCTGGCCAGGGATCGAATTCGTGAAGTGGCTGCAGCTAGCTTCGTAGTGCTATGCTTTAACCTGCTGCACCACCAGGGAGGGCCCCAAAAAAATATTTTTAAAGAAATCAGATATTAATATATCACTGGTATAAGCTTATATTCCAAGTTTCAAATTCTCCTCTTTCCTATAATAAACATTAATAGATATTATTCGCATTCTGATAGATGTAGAAAGATATAGAACATTTAACCACCAAATAATTTAGAAAGAGGAAAAGGAAAAAGATATTGTTTAAGACAAAAAATGAAATTCTTTCATTTATTTTAGCTCAACTTAAAACTATTTTAAGCATTTTCTCAGCTCAACACCTCTCTAAGAAGACTCAGATAAATTTTTCAGAATTTCAATTTTTACTCTTTAGATTTCTGAACCACCAGTCTACTATCGGTGATGATCTACCCAATCACATAATTTCTGGAAGAATTGTGATGAAACCAAATATAAAAGAATTCACTGAGACATCAGTCACCTTTGAGGATGGCACAAAAGAAGACATTGATGTTGTGATCTTCGCCACAGGATACAAATTCTCTTTTCCTTTTTTGGAAAGTGATTCAACGGTTCTAGACAATCAATACACCATGTTTAAATTTGTGTTCCCACCTCAGCTAGAGAAGCCAACATTAGCTTTCATTGGCATCCTCCAGCCAGTGGGCGCCGTCATCCCCACATCAGAAATCCAGAGCCGATGGGCTGCTCACGTATTCAAAGGTATATGCTGACCTTATATGCATACTGAGGAAAATAACTGCAGATGGTGTGACTTCAGAGGTGTTGCAAAGGTCTTCCACTGCAAAATACATCTGAAAGAATCTTTAGTTTCTGAAATTCTGCTTCTTGAGATATGTTGCTTTGGTGTTTGAAGGCTAATCCTCAGGATTTCTACATGAAACTGAAGATGAAAAAAAGCTGTAACTTAAGCTATCACCAAGAGACAACTTATTAGCAAATAATTCTTTAAGTTCAGCAAGGAAATAATAGAAAGTATAGTTTAGAAAGTTAGACCAGTAGTATATTTTTATATAAGGAATAGACAGTATAGAAGGTATAGAATAGTATTAGCATAGTATCATATTAAATCATAACATATCATAGCATATTGTATCATATAGAATGTGAAATCAATAGAAGGAAGACCTCAACCTAAAGTAAAGGTGGGAAACAGCATTTATTCTTCTTATCCAGGGTTGCTGGTGTCACTCCAAAATGAGTCTATGTCAAAATGACATAGATTGTCGACATAGTTCAAAATAATATGAGAATAAAGGTCAGTTGTAGTACAGTCACAGAGTACACACACCACAACTAAAAGACCAAGGGTTTTAGAGTCAAATAAAAGCAGAATTAAAATCCAGCTCATCCACATACTGGCAGGTGATCTTGACATATTACTGAATCGTGCAATTTCCTTTTATGAATGAGAATACTTACATGAGTTTTTCAAGGTAGCAGAAAATGAGCAACTAAGCATGTTAACCTTTGAAGGTAATCAAAAGGCATTCAATAAATATTGATTAAATGAAGAGTAAATATTATTAGTATAAGTCTTTTTCTTCTTTATAATATCTTTGATTCTAAGGTTGAGAATACATGAATGAAAACCAGTTCAAACCCTACCATTATGAAATTATGCCACTCCCATTGTAATGATTCAGTATATTTGTTTGCATGTCCTTTAAATTTTTCCCAAATTTTCTTTTTAATTTTTTTACTTCATTGTTCATTATTTACAGTAATTGTTTGCTCCCCTCAGTAGTTCTCCCACCACTGTACAGACACCTATGAACCATCACCACAGTCACTTATGCTCCTCCTTCTCCTATTTGTATATTCTCCCTCCCCATCCTTTACTGTATGCCTCAGATTTATGGAAAGCTTGCAAATTTTGTGGGTTTTTTTTTTAACTTTTGTTTGGTTTCTCTATATTCCATATGTAAGTTAAACCATCTGATATTTGTCATAAAGATTTCCCATGTATTTGTGGAACTTTCTTTGTTCCTCAAAATGTAGGAGCTATTCATCATAGGAATAAAGGACAGTTACAGAAAGTTGTTACTCTGAGTTAAGGTGGAAAGTTCAGAATAAATCTTTCTTCAATGAAAACCATCAGAATACAGCAAATCACCATTAGTAGCTAGAATACATGCTTGCAAACTACATCATAACATGAATTCAAAAATATAACTTACTATCTAAAGGAAAAGGAAAGAGAATATTGTGATAATGAGACTACCCTCGTGCTACTTAGTGTTTTACCCATCGGATGAGTCTCCTTTCAGTCCATCTTCCTTTGTGGGCTTTGTGTTCTGTGAACTCATCAGACATTGGTTCCAAAGACATGATTTTGTTCATGTTCCTGTTGAAAGGAGTGGAGAGCAAATCTGAGTAGCTCCAGGACACACCTCCCTCACTCCCCAGGTATCTCAACATAATGTTCCACCAAACTGACTTCTCAGGGTATATAGTTCCTACTGAAATACTATCTTCTACGATTGTTCATATTTGGAACTTCTTTCCTAGGATTGAACAAGTTACCTTCAGTGAGTGACATGATGGCTGATATTACAAAGAAAAGGAAAAAAAATGAAGCACAGTAAGATACTTCTTGTTGAAAGTGAAAAGTGTTCAGGTGCAACTGTCTGACTATCAAGCCTTCTTCTAATTTTTCTCATCATAGAATCTGGGTCTATTTGGCTGATGGGGTTTCAGCTTTTCAACCTTTCCATTTCCTCTTACCCAAGCATATGTCATAAATGAAAGGTTTGTGGATGGAATGAATACAGAATGGCCCACTAAGAAATCATCAAAGTTTTGGTTAAAGTTAGTGAAACCTTAGATACAGCATATAATTATGAAAGTATGTCAAATCATAGTCTCAGAGATGTAAAACATATGAAAATGCAAGATGAAATGAAAGATTTTTCATTCTTCTAAGAAGCTGGAATAATAAATCTTTGTGGGGATTGAGTTGGCAAATCACTACCAAATCCAATTAAATTTCTGATGAGAAGTCAGAAGCTTATAGGTTGTGCCAAATCTTCTTAATGGAAAATTATTCTCAACCATTCAGGCTGGGAGAGTAATCTATTTCTACTCAACAAATATCTGTTGAGAACTTACAATGTAAATGTCACAGCATGTTCTCAAAGATCAAAAGGCTTCAACCAAAGAGTAACGTTGGTTTTAAGAAGATGGATCAGTAATGAATTTCAAAAATACTGAAATACATCAATTAATACATCAAATTAACGACACACACCTAAATAACTAGCCTGCAAGTTTCATCTATCATAGTCCTCACCACCAGTTTAACAAAATGAGACAATGTCCTGAATGAGAATCAAATTCATGGTCATAACATAGGATTTAGAAAAAGAAGAATATTGTTCATAATATAAAACTTGTCTGAAACATATTTACTACAACCCAAGACCCTTGGAGTCATTTGAGGCAATACACCTGTATTTGAGAAGATACACCTGCATAAGTACTTGCTGAGAAACCATTGAGTCCATGATAACTGAAAACAAGAAACTCTTATCTCTCACTGTTTGGGTGAAATCATCAATAGTTATTAATTGCTTTCCCCCAAGATCATCCCTTCATGCAAGCTTCATCCAATAGTTATAAGTTAGCTGTGCTCAGAGGGAGGGACACAGAGGGACGTCTGACTTGAAGTTTCTGATTTGCGCCCATTCTGGTTTCAGCTTCCTGAATAACCCCCGGGACAGGCTCAGAGTGCTTTATGTCGACTACATGGATGACATTGCCTCAGAAATCGGGGTGAAGCCCAACCTGTGCTCCCTCCTCCTGTGGGATCCAAAGCTGGCTGTGACAAGTTTCTTTGGACCGTGCACACCGTACCAGTACCGCCTGCAGGGGCCAGGCAGCTGGGCTGGGGCCCGCGGAGCCATCATGACCCACAGGGAGCGCATCATCAAGCCCCTGCGGACCCGCAGCCTGGCCTGCGCCCGCCCTGGGCACCCTGTGCCAGGCTGGCTTAAAAGTGCCTGCGTGGTCCTTCTCGTCTTTGTTCTCACTGTCGTCATTCTTAAACAATGATCCTGTGCTCTCTGCAGTGCCGCATGCTGCCTTAGAGGTTGTGCCTGCATGCCAGTGGTTAGTGCCAGGTGGGGTTAGACTAGTCGTGAATTATCTAATAATTCCAGAATTTCTTATACACGTGTATGTTGGCAAAATTGGAGATTTCTTCCACAATGATTTCAAATGAAGTGTTTGTGTAAAGCTTTACTTGACAAGGATAGATTTAGCTTCTTTAACATATGTTCCCAGTTACACATGTTCTTCTAGCCTCCCTTTATAGCAAACACACACTGTGTCAGCAACTTGCAATTGGAGATTCCTTGATTGTGCATCTAAAACTCAGGCTAGGGGAAAATATCTCCTTAAGTAACCTAGAAAAGTTAACAAGAAATAAATATCCTTATCAAAATGTTTCTAGTAGGTTTATATCTAGAGAAGATATGTATTGAAATGGCAGGTTATTTCAGGTATTATGGCAGGTTTTCTTAGGGTGTGAAGCTTGCCATGGAGAGAAAAAGGCGAACTACTAGATATCAAAAAATCATCATAATGTTCTATTCTAACAAATAACAAAGGAAATTATACATAAGTCAATACTATTTTGTTATAAATTTTTTTAAAAAAGATGAAATCCTGCCTTTTTCAATAATATGAATGGACCAACAGGGTATGATGCTCGGCGAAACGAGTGTGAGAGAAAAAGACAAACACTGTATGGTTTCACTCACATGTGAAAGATAAAGAAACAAAATTAATGAACAAACAAAACAAAAACAAACACTTAAACAAAA